GTGAAGCGGGCGAGATTCTACTGTCCCGAGATCGCTAGTTCCACGGATCACTTCCTGCGGTATGCGCGAGTGCAGTCTGGTGCGTCAGCAGCTATTCATCAGGAGCCATCCATATTCAACACATGTTTGACGCTCCGCGCATCCCCATGAGTCGGCAAGTCTGCGACCTGGGACCGCGCTCCTCTTTTTCGGCACGCTCTTCGGTAGTTTCTCCATCTGGGTGGTACTGCTGTATTTCCCTTCCGCCTACCGCCGCTCGCTTCATTTGGTTTCTCTTTGTTACGGGCGCGGCCCGCCCTAGCACCCTCGGCGTTCGACACGTCTTCGCGCGCCCGCGGACAAAACATATCCCCGCCAGCTTATCCAGAAACGGCGCACAGAGGAAGTAATAGCTGGAGAAAACGTCGTACACCAAGAGGGAGGAAGGAGGAAGGATCGGAAGAGGAGGAATAACTAATAAGCGGATGAGGAGGAGGAAGAGGAGGAGGAGGAGGAAGAGAAGAGCACGAGGAAGGGGACGATGCCGATTTGGGGGCCTACTGGGGCGTCTTGGGAGCCTCTTGGCGACCCCGGGTGCCTCTTAGAGCGTCTTGGGTGTCTCGGGGAGTCTCTTGCGGCCTCTTGGGGGTGTTTTGGAGCATATTTGGGCCTCCTTTGCGCCTCTGGTAGCCCTATCGGGACGTGCTTGGGAGCCTTAGGGGCATTATTGGACTCTCGGAGGCAGATTGGAGGAGATCGATCAAACAAGGGTGGGGGGCTTAATAAACCCTACCCTTCCAGAGTGTTCAATTTCGTCTTTTGGACTCCTCTTAGACCCCTCTTGGAGCGCTCTTGGGCGATCTTGGGGCAGTTTGGGGCCTCTTTTGGGCTTCTCTTGCAGCCCCCATGGGCCCCCTCAGAGCCATCTTCAAACTTCGAAAGGCCATCGAAAGCAAAAAGGTGAGAAGACCAAACTCATTGAATTTCCGTTGGTGTTTGAGGGACTCTGGCTTCTTGGCGGCCTCTTGGGAAGGTTCCGTGGCCACTTGGAGCTGTTTTGAGGCGGTCTTGAGGCCCCTAGGAGCATTTTGGAAACCATTTGGAGCCATCTAAGACTATCTTGAGCCATCTTGGAGGTCATCTTGGCCCCTCTGAGGCCCTCTTGGAGCCATCCATCTTGGGCCATTTTGGACGTTCCAACGCCTCGCGACCCCACCCTCCAGGTCCAGGGGAGGGGGTCCGGGGAGGGGTCAAGCTACCCACCCGCCAGCAAGTCGATCGAGCTCACCCGCCCTCCCAACACATAAGTAAAACCCAAGCCTGAGCATGTTCAGCGGTCGTCTTTGGATGGACAGCTACTGGGAACCAAAGCCGACCCCATGTGCGCAAAGCTTGTGCGAGGTGCGCCACGCGCGCCAGGGGTGCCACGCGCGCCAGACACCCCTGGGGCCCGAACGTGCCAGGCACGCCTGGTGCGCCAGATGCTCCACGTGCTCCGAATGCGCCAGGTGTGCTGCACACTCCAGCCGCGCCAGGTGCGCCACGTTCGGTTTGGGGCACGTGCAGAGTGCGTCGGGTGCGCCTGCGCACGTGACAGCACACATCGGGAAACATGTCGGCCCCCACCATCCTCTTTTGAGAACCAATGCCTATCATTGTGTCTGGTGGACCTGCGCACAGCAGGCCACGCGCCACCATCCCCGCCGTCCCTGTCAAAAACCACTTGACAGTGATCGCGGGGTGGCCGCGCATGATCCAGATCTAGCCGCCAGGCGCATTTTGAATCGTTTTTTTAGGGATGGTAGCCCTGCGCACAGCAGGGAATATGCTTACACCCGCGCCGTCCCTGTCAAAAACAATACAAACTGCTCGCGGGCCTCGCGAACTTGACTCAAGATTTTGCGCAAAAGTGTACTTTGTATGTGTTCTGACAGTGACGGTGGGGTGGGGGGCACATCGGGTTGGCCGCGCATGCTCCAAATGTGGAGGCTGAGTGCGTTTTGTTTTGTTTTTTGACAGGGATTGCGGGGGTGGTGGCCCGCACGGGGTCGGCACGGTTCCGGGTTGGTCGCTGGCCGGGTGGGGGAGGGGGTGCGGAATAATAGCGAACAGTGGTAAGCCCTTCCCCGGAGGGAAAGAAGGGGATTGGAAAATAAAGCTCTCGAGACCACCTGCGCCCTCAAGGGCTGGTGGGATTCTCGTGTATGGCGCAGGCCGGAGAGAGTTAAGTTAAGCCCCGTATTGGCCCGGCCACCTCCGCCCAGGGCTGGACCTCAACGCTGTTTTGTTGGACTCCGGCTGTGTGTTGTTTTTCGCTTTGCCAGGGAGCTGCAGGGACACGGGTCGGGCAAAGCGAAGCACAACACGAACACAAAGCGAAGCAGTAGATATGGTCAAATTCTGGCGGCGCACAACAACCCTTCGGTCCAGCCCTGCCTCCGCCTGGCCCTGACGTCGAGGATCGGCTCGGGCTGCGCTCGGGGCCCTCGACCCCCAGGCACACTGCCCCGAGGGAGGAACCAGAGGGACAAGCAACAGAGACGGGGGCACGGTAGCAGCGCCCACCTCTCCTCCTCCTCCTCCTCCTCCTCCTCCTCCTCCTCCTCCTCCTCCTTCTTTTACGGTTTTTACGGTCGTCTCTTCTTCTTCCTCCTCCGCAGGAACTATTCTGCATTTTCGCGCCGCCCCGCGGGTGGGGTCATCCAGCAACGGGGACCCTGACCCCACCCTTTGCTGAGAGGGGCAGGTATCGAAGTTTATGGCGACTGCGATCGAAAACATTGGCTTTATAGTCAATCCCCTCCTCTCCTTCCTCTCCTGCCCCTTTTCTCCTTTCCCCCCTTCGCACTTTGCTCATCCCCCTCCTCTTCCTGGCCCTGTTGTCCTGGTCAGATCTCGTAGAAGCGCCGTGAGCTCCTGGATCGCTTCTGTCGGGGCTTCAGGTCCATTACGCTGGCATCCCGGTAAGCTGCCAGCATGATGTTGTCATGGGTCCCATCCATTCCGTTTTTCTAGGCCTCGTAGATGGGGGTCGGAGTAGATGGGGTCGGAGGATCGCGCCGCATCGCCGATGCATCGCCGATGCGGCTCGATGTGGAGCCCGAGTTGCTTCACGCCGACGTCGCCGATGCATCGCCGACGTCGACGATGCATCGCCAGTGCATCGCCGATACATCGCCGATGTATTGCCGATGTATCGGCGATGCGGCGCGATCCTCCGACCCCATCTACTCCGACCCCCCTAGGAGGCCCCTAGTTCCTGGGGTCCAGGGGCCTGTTTTGAGTGAGTTGACCTGCCCCCCTTTCTTGACAGATCTTCGCTGGGCTTCTCCAGCTCAGATCCCCCGGCCGCCTCCAAGTCGGTTGGTTGTTTGCCTGGCATTTGGGATGACCGGCTTACGCCCTGCGGTCGGATCTTCCTTCTCTTCCTCCCTGCCGCCGCCGAGGACAGCGCCGGTGCAGGCCCATCCTGGGCGGGCGGCCGCTTCCCGGCGATGCGAGCGCCTCGGCCCTCGACCGGGACGCGCGGGGGTACCTCGGATTCGAACCGTTGTGCAGAGGTCTCCGGTCGGACCGACGTATGAGATCGAGGTCGGTTCGGGGAGGGTGCCCTAATGTTCTTCGTGTTTGCGGGGTGTGTTTGTGCATCCGGGGGGAGGGCACCCTCGAGTGATCTCATGCTTTGGGGTGGTGCGGCTGGCGGAGAGCCTCATGTCCCTGAAGAATGTTGTTCAGGAGGGAGAAAAAAACACAGACACAATTAATCGGCGATTCCCAGAAAAGATGGGAAAATATGGGAAGTGGGGGGAAGACAAAAACCCAGAAAATATAGGAAAATATGGGACATATCCTTATTTGTGTGCATTTATTTGTGTGTCCTGGGGCCCCTTCAACCTCGGCCTCTGACTGTCTGCGTATTCCCCGCGAGGGAGATGGGGAGGTCGTCCTCGGGAAGCGAGCCTTTCTGCACAGGTCCTCCTCCTTCCCCCCTCCCTGGGAGGGGTGGGTGGGAAGCGGACAGTTGCACTCTTTCCACCCCCGTCCTTCTCCCCATCCACCCCTCCTGGTTCCCTCCTTTCCTCCGAGAGGGGAGGAAGGGGTGAGTGGCAAGCGGACGCATGTACAGGTCTACGTGCCTCCCTCTCCCCATTCCCCCTCCTCCTCCTCCTCCTCCTCCTCCTCCTCCGTAGCCATTTTGGCTCGAGCTCGCCTCAAGCCCCCTGGTGCGCCGTTTCCCGGTGCGGCATGTGGCGCCTGGAGCTGGCGGTTGGAGGAAGTGGTTCTCCAGGACGGCACGGGCGGTGCGTGCCAAGGGCCCCGCCGTTCAGCGGCCGACCGTCGGGCGCGGCGCGAGCGGGCCAAGTGGTGCGCGGACAGGGCGATCAGGAAACTGTCGGACGAGCTGCAGCGCCCGCGTCTCCAGCTCCAGGAGATGCAGTCCTCGCTCGTGGAGCTCGTCGGCAGCGGCGAGCTCTGGGACAGGATCCTCGCGGCCGTCCCGGCCTTGTGTTGCCTTCCTGGCCGAGCATGCCCTGGAGCATCTATCTGGGTGTGCTCAGACGGAACGTTGCCTTCCGTGCGCGCGGGAGATATGGCTTCCGCTTCTCTCTCCGATGCATCTGCCAAAGAATTGCGAGGTGCACAGCGCGGTCCGCGTCTAGGCCGAGCAGCTCGGACGCTTCCCACTCCAGAGCTGGAGGACAAGAGCCACTTCGCGCTGCGGGCGGAGGCCCCCGTCTTCGTCCCTCTCGGCCTCCTCGGGGCGGTCTTGCCCGACTGCCGCGAGGACCAGTGCGGCATCGTGCAGGCGCCGACGGATGCTGCCTTCGGGTGCGTGCACGCGCTGGCGGAAGCCCCCTTGACGGCGGCCGCAGGGAACCAGCACGGCAAATCTGCGCTGGACTCGGCTGATCGCTCTGCTGAGGAGCCGCGTACGCGCAGATGTCAGCCCCCTCCTGAGCGACCCTCTTTCTCGGGTCCGCCGACGGGCGGGTGGCTGGTGCACCCGATGGGCACTGAGGATGCCAGCCCAGCGGCCATCGCTGACGGGCGACGCAATGACGTGGACGAGGAGGAAGGCGACCTTTTTCGCAGATCTCGGCCAGGATGTCGGCGCCGAAGCCAGCTTGGAGCACCTGCCGACCACCGGGCTGGAGATGGACGTGGCCTGGGCTGCCATGGCCCATAGTCTTGTTCTAGCGTCTGCGGCCGAGGCGGGCCAGGCCAGGCCCGTCGCGCGGCGGAAGGCGTGCCTGACACAAACTCTATTCGAGAAGGCCGTGGAGGAGGAGCTGGAGGAGTCGTTCATGCAGGTCGAGGAGCCCCCCAGCGACCAGCTGGACATCGAGGAGACCAGCTGGACATCGAGGATCACGATGCCGAGTTCGAGGAGTTCGCATGCGCAGATATGGACACCAGACGGGCCAGCCTCGGTGTCTTGGCAACGGCAGGATGCGCGAGCGAGCAGTCGGAGTTGAGCATTGCGGCGCCGTTCACGAACCACTTCATGGCAGAGGACACGCTGAACGTCGCGCAGATGTCCCCCCTGCAGCTATCTCTCGCAACCATAAGCGAAGAGGCGGGCAAGACATGCTTCCAGGTCATCACGGCCTTGCGGCGAGTGCGTTGCCCGCTCTGTTCTTCGTCTTCCGTCCGCCTCATCCCGTCTCCTCGTGAAAGGATTCGCTTGTGAACTGTGCCACCACAGCATCGACGGTCACTCGAGGATTGCCGTGTGCTTGTGCTGCACGGCCGCGGCAGCAGAGTGCCCAGCTCTAATTTCGAGCACGAACTTGCATTCGCAACTGGTTCATACTCATACTCATACTCCTCCTCTTCCCCTGATTGTAGCATTCCTTTCCTGGGTGGGGGGAGGGAGGTATAGGTTGGAAATGCACGCGTACCTTTCCTGAGCTGCCCGCAGTCACAGGTCCACCTTCCTCCTCCCCCCTCTTCCCTCCTCTGACTGTTTCCCTCCCCTCCTGGGAGGGGCATAAAGGTAGGACGCGGACACATGTGCAGGTCCACCTCCTTCATCGTCTTCTGCCCCCTCTGCTCCTCTGGCCGGTCCCGTCCTCTCCCGAGAGGGGGGAAGAGAGAGAGAGAGAGGAGCGGGGTGGGCGCGTGCAGCCGTCCTCCGACGTGGCGGCTCGCTGGCCAGGGTGTGCCGCTGCAGCAGTGTGCCAGGCGCCCGTCCGGTTGGCACCGCGTCGCTTTTTGCGTGGCATTTCCCCCCCCCCTCCTCATCATCATCATCCTCCTCCTCCTCCTCCTCCTCTTCCTCCTCCTCCTCCTCCTCCTCCTCCTCCTCCTCCTCCTCCTCCTCCTCCGCCCCCCTTTCCGCCGTCGTTTCGAGCAGCGCTGGGCCGAAAACGTGTGGAGGTGGGTCCGTCCCGACGTGCGTGGAGTCTGGGTTTCCTTCCGGGTTTCGCCCCCCTCCATGCCAGTGGAGTCACAAGAGTCTAGAAAGGACAGCGGAGATTGGCGGCCGTCCGCTCGCGCAGGCCACCGCGGCCCTCGTGCGGCTTTTCTGCCCCAGTGGCGGTGCGAGCGCACCTTGGAACATCCAGCTGAATAATTATCCTGAGCACTCCTCTCTCCCCCCCTTCCGTCCCCGCCCACTTCTGCCACTGGCGTCGTTCGTCCTTCGCTCCTCCCCCGCCGTCCCCCCCTCCTTCCCACTCTCACCTCTCGAGGTCTCTGGGGCGACGACGACGACGACGACGACGACGACGACAACAACGACGGGGCGGCGGCGGCGGCGGCGGCGGCGATGGCGGCGACCGCCACGCCGCCGCTTGGCCGAGGTTCGGCAGGGTGGCGAGCATGGGGAACAAGCGCCGGTCCGTGGGCGGGCAAGCGAGTTCGGAGAGGGCCCCGCCCGCGCCGCGCGCCGCCCCCGCCGCGGCGGCGCGAAGGGGGCGGCCTCTCGGAGAAGGCAGGGGGGCGGCTCAGAGGCCCCCCCCGCCTCCTGAGGAGCCTTCTCCCGAGGAGCTCCAGGCCTCCTCTTCCTCCTCCTCCTCCTCCTCCGCCTCCTCCTCCTCCTCCTCCTCCTCTTCCTCCTCCTCCTCCTCCTCCTCCTCCTCTCCTCCTCACTCACTCGAGGTGCGCGCGGCCCTCGGGATCTGCAGCGGCGTGTGGGCGGGCCTCTCCAGAGGAGCTCCAATCTCTCCCGGGGAGCTCCTGGTGGCTCAAGTTTTTCGGCCCGGGTCGTGAGAGAGCTCAAGCGCCAGATGGGTTTCTCAAGGGCCCACGGGCCGGCGCGAACGCGTACACACATACATACCATCGCCTGCTGAAAGATACCGTGCGCCCAGAAGCTCCCGAGGAGCTCCCGGCCTCCCAGACGGCGTCCGAGTAGATGGGGCCAGAGGCTCGCGGCCACATCACCCATGCATCGGCGATGCATCGGCGATGCATCGGCGATGCATCAGTGCCCTCGGCGCGGATAGCAGTGGGCCCCGCGTCGAGGCGCATCGGCGATGCCTCGGCGACGCGGCGCGACGCGCCGGCCCCACCTGCTCGGAGCCCATCTTGGAATCGGCCGGGCGTGTGCATGCTTCTCGGCGAGGCCGTGGCCTGGGGCCCCCAGAGCAAGACCACCTTTTGGAGCACCTTGGGCCTGCACGAGCAGAAAGGAATGACGAGCAACGAAGAAACAACAACGCGCGAAACCGAGCAGCACAAAGGGAAGGGACGCCCGAGCAATGGCACGCCGCCTGGGAGGCCTCGAGGAGGGCGCTCTGCCCCCTCCGGAGGCAGGCTCCTCCGGCTCCCACTGTCCCCCTCCACGGGGCCCCCCTTTGCTCTCTCAGAGGGCAGCCCCCTCGCCCGGCACGCCGCTGGCGCACCGCTGGTCCTCAAGAAGGGGCAGAGGCGACGATTGGGCAGGGGCGGGCGTTACTCCAGATTTCGTAATAAAAGGGAGGGGGTCTGGACCCTCCAAGACAAGCCATTTCAGACCCCCCCCGTGGGAGAACCCTCCAAAACATCGTCCCCAGACCCCCCAGAACCTTCAAGATAGCCTGGAAGAGACCCCCCCCCCCCAAATGAGGCCCCCCTCCCTTTATTACGAAATCTGGAGTACACGCAGTCGTCCAGGAGCCTCGTGGAAGGCATGGGCCATCGGCGTCCCTGGATACTCCAGATTTCGTAGTAAAGGGAGGGGGGCCTCATTTCGGGGGGGGGTCTCTTCCAGGCTATCTTGGAGGGCCTGGGGGGGCCTGGGGACGATGTTTTGGAGGGTTCTCCCACGGGGGGGGTCTGAAATGGCTTGTCTTGGAGGGCCCAGACCCCCTCCCTTTTATTACGAAATCTGGGGTACCCTTGCATCCTTGCCCCTTCGACTCGTCCTTGGGCCGTGTTCGCTGGCCGCGCCCCGATCGAGGAGCCTCGAAATTGGCCTCTCAAGGCCCCTGGCATCCCTGTCGCGGGTCGAGGGCCTGGGGGGGTCTGGGGACGAGTACATGTGTGGCTCTCCCCTGAGGTGTTCGCCCCCGTCGTCGCCTCCGAGAGAGGGGCCGAGGTGCGAGGATGGAGCGAGTCCGGGCCTTGGCGCTTCGGGGGCTCCGTGCGGCAGGGCCTCGAGGATAGAGAGGAGCCTCGAGGCCCCAGAGGAGGAGGAGGAGGAGGAGGAGGAGGAGGAGGAGGAGGAGGAGGAGGAGGAGGAGGAGGAGGAGGAGGGAGGAGGAGGGAGGAGGAGGAGGAGGAGGAGGAGGAGGGGAGAGGAGGAGGAGGAGGAGGAGGAGGAGGAGGAGGAGGAGGAGGAGGAGGAGGAGGAGGAGAGGAGGAGGAGGAGGGAGGAGGAGGAGGAGGAGGAGGAGGAGGAGGAGGAGGTGGTTGGAGGGTCGAGTATTCTGGAAGCCTGCGGGTATCTACACGGGCCTCTCAGGACTCCCGGGTACCTCCAGGGACTTCCTCGGGCTGCTCCAGGGAGGCGGCGGAGGAGGAGGAGCAGGAGGAGGAGGAGGAGGCGGCGGAGGAGGAGGAGGAGGAGGAGGACAAGTAGGCGGAGGAGGAGGAGGAGGAGGAGGAGGAGGAGGAGGAGGAGGGGAAGGACGGCGGGCTGGGACTGCAGAGCGTCGAGCTCACGGCGGCGGCGGCCCAGGCGGCGTCGTGGCACCTCTGCCTCCCGCACTGCCTGCGCAGACTCGGGCTGGACGGAGCGGGCGCGCTGGCCAGCGTGAGCCCGTGGGCGCGGAGGTGTCTCCCGGAGGCGACACGAGTCCTCCAGGCTGCCCTGGCGGACGAGACCGCCCACGTGGGCGACGAGGGGCTCGCAGCCCCGCAGCACACTCTGGCTTCGGCCCCCCTTGCTGCGGCTGCGCGCATCGTTGCCACCGAGGCGAGCCACGACCCACTGGCAGCGGCGGCCCTGCACAGCGCAGGCGGCCCTGGGGCGAGCGCCTGGCTGGGCCCGCCCTCCCGGCCCGAGCACCGCCTCTCAGACGCGCAGTTCGGCATCGCGCTTGGCGTGCGCCTCGGCGAGGACCTGCCCTGCTGCACGGGAGTGTGCCAGCACAGGCATCCCGACGGGAGTGTGTGCGGAGCTGTGTTGGACCCGAAGGGGCAGCACGCGCGGTCCTGCGCGGTGGGAGGCTGGCTGGTCCGCCGCCACGACGCCGGCTGCGCCGCGCTGGCAACCTGGCGCGAGGAAATGGGCTGCGCGGTGCACAGGGAGATGGTGTTGCCGCACGCAGCAGCCAGCCGGCCGGAGGCACGAATGGATCTGATAATCCACGCCCCCCGGGTAGCTGTCCCCATCCGGGTGGACCTCACCGTGGTCAGCGCGCTGTCCCAGGACGCGCTGGAGCGCGGGTCAGCCCGGCGCGCCGGCGCCGCGGCCGCGGCGGCCGAGAACGACAAGCGCGCGCGCTACCCTGGGCTGAGGATGGTCCCCTTCGCCGTCGAGGACCACGGCAGGCTGGGGGAGGACGCCCTGGCCCTCGTGCGCCTGCTGGCCCCGCCGCCCGATGACGACGGGCGGTCGGCGGCCATCCGCCGGCTGCACCAGGCGCTGGGCAGCGTCCTGCAGCGCCACTCTGCGGACGCCGTCCTTGCTGCCACGCAGCACAGGGCCTGGCGAGGGCCCCGGGCCGGGCGCTGAGTGCGCCTGGCGAGACGAGGGCGCGGCGCGGCGACCGCGGGAGGCTCTGCTCGCTTGCTGGCTGCGCCGGGGCTGGGACGCTGCTGGGCTGGGCGCAGGCGGCGGGGCGGGCCGCGGCCGGCGGCGCCCGGGGCTGGCCGAGGCTGCGCGCAGGCGGCGGCGGGGGAGCCCCCGCGGGCAGGCGCGGCGGCGGGGCCGGAGCTCGCGCGGCGACGCTGGGCGGGCACGGCGGCGGCGGCGGCGGCGGCGGGCCGGGCAGCGCCCGCGGCGGCGGCGGCGGCGGCGCGCCGAGCAACGGGCCGGCGCGGCGGCGAGGCCGGGGCTGGCGCGGCGGCCGGCGCTACTGGAGGGGCGGCAAGCGGCGCTGGCGGC